ATGAGGTTGCACGCAATAATACAATCACTGTAGAACTTTCCCAGAATTTGCTGTTTTTTATTTGTTTTTGGGTAGACGATGCCTACGTGATATAGTAACTGATTCATTGCAGTGTGATCCCCATCAGGGGCTCAAATACTGCTCTCCTCACATAGAACCGTAAGCGGCCATTTTCAATATCCCTTGATAACCGTTGGCACAAATGGACACAGTTTACATCTCTATGAAACCTTTAAAAATCACGTTTGAGGTTAGTTTCACAAAAGTCACAAGAGGATCAAACCCTGCAGGAATGTACCTCAACCACATCCTGATTTGATCGCTCTAAACAGCAAACACGTGAAAACGAAACGGAAACCGTGTCAATGGGTAAAGGGTATATTTTCGTATGCACACGTATTGCGATTACGTCAGATTAAATAAGGTACAACGCATCTTTCCCAGGCGTAATTATCACGTGGATTCCGGTTGGTTCCTGAAAAATTCACGCGTTCTTTCCTCTCGTGCACAAAACCAGCTAGTGTGATATGGTGTTATGATGTTCAGTTGATAATTATTTGGATAATTATTTTTTGTTCTTTGTATTTGGTAATCATTAGTATGAGAACGACCGCGGTGCTGTTCGTTTGGTGAAACCGAATCCAGAAATAAGACTATCCCCATAATTTTTGCGCACTTTCCAGTATTCGGTTGGCTTTATTCGGTAATACGATTTTTAGCTTAGCGTTAGATAAAACTATATGATTTCAGCGAATGAGATTACCAAATTTAGAGTGTATACTCAAAAAAATTGCATTCGTGAAAACAGTCCAATTTTTGAACTTCCGATTTCTGCAGTTTTAATAAAATGTATGGTACATTTTGACAGCCCTCGTTTTCAACTGCATTTGATTTGATAGAGGTATTTTATTCCGTTCCAGATATATATATATATATATATATACATATATATATATGACCAAAATGGTCACTTTGTTTGTTCGGTATTTGAACGATAGAATTGTGTTAGTGCTTTGGTGACGGTAACACGGAGATGGAATATAGTCTGCAGCCGTCGCACAACCTGGATATGAATCTGGCCAACACTGCTGCGTATTTCGATCGAGCATGATCGATTGGTGCTTTATTGCATCCGCTTGAGGTGTAGCCTATGAATTCTATTGGCGCATCATTCTATGGACGTCAGCGGTGACTCAAGCGTCAATCGCGCATGATTCATTAGTATCAGCGGTAAATGGCCCGATATTGCTTTTCCGGGGGGAGGGGAACGAACACGAACACAGACACAGAAATGAGTACACGCACTATCAAATTAGTCAACCAACATATATGCCCTGGGAATTGAGGCATGTGACCGAGGAATGTCGCACAATCCACGCACTCATCTCCGCTCTTCAATAGGAGGTTGAATACAAGAGCCTGGCTAACGAGACACCTTGAAACGATACCCGAATATCTTGAAATGATATTCCGACAAGTTGGTTTGCAAAAGATGTAGATACAAAACGTGACCGATACGAGTGAAGCATGGCTAATGATTAGGGCTTGGTTGTTCGGACGCGCGCGGCAGTCCAGATTTAAGAATCAATGATCCACATCCCAAGTTCAAGTCTTATTTTTGATCTATTTGAATGGCGATAATCCGGCTATAGAGTAACGAGATGCTTCGATGGTTTACTCATGCATATCCTGCATTGTGTGAACGTCGTTATATCTAAAGCTCAAAATCATTATAATGATTAAATATTGAAGAAAAAGAGGTTCTGACATTTACCCCCCACCCGCACCCGCCGGGCGTCGTGACATAATCCGATGAAGTGCAGGTGCACTCGGAAGCACTTTCCACATCTACAGGTGTTGACCAAACTCGTGCGACATCAACCTCATTTTGAAAACCCATTTCAGCGTGCAATAGAATACTTATATATAGATGGTTATGAGTACAGTGTATTTATTCCTGACTTTATCTCCAACATCTAAGTTCTTAGTTCATTTCTGTCACCATTTGAATGAGCACGACCTTGAGTGTCGCTATAAAACTTGCAGTAGTTCGAAAGTTACAGCTCTGATTTAGAAAATGTTTTGGGCAAAGTAGCATGGGTGTTCATTCTTTTTAATAGATGATTCGTGTCCTATGAGAGTTTTTATTAGGTTCAGCACACGCATTCTAAATTTCTATTCTTTTTTGACTCAGTGCACAGTAAATAAGCAAAGTATTCAAAATATTCTAACTTTAATAAATTGCTAAATTATTAGGCTACAAACTACTCACGCATTATCTCCAATACTGGAA